ACTTTACTTATTTAGTTCTTTTTTTGTAATAGATTCTTTAGGATTTTCTATGTTGGAAATTGCATCATCTGTGAATAGCCGTATTGTACTAGTTAAGACTTCCAGTATGATGTTGAATAGTAATATGAATGAACATCCTTGCTTTGCTCCTGATTTGAGTGGAAAAGTATTCAGTTTTCAACATTAGATGTGATATTAGATGTAGGTTTTTTGTAGATGCTTTTCATTGGTTTGAGGAAGTTCCCTTCTATTCTTAGTTTGCTAAAACTTATATCATTAATGGATACTGAATTTTGTCAAATGTTCTTCTTGCATCAATTGATATAATCATGTGGTTTTGCTTCTTTAGATTTTTCAAATACTGAATCCAGACTTGCATATCTGGGATAAGCTCTGTTTGGTTTGGGGATATCTATACATTTGTTTTCTTGTACTGTCTGTGGCAGAGTTTGGAATCAGAGTAATGTTGTGTCATAAAATGAATTGGTAACTGTTTAGTCTTTTATTTTCTGAAAGAGATTATGTAGAATTGATATTATTTATTCTTTAAATGTTTGATAGAATTCACCAGTGAGATCATCTGGAGCTTGGGAATTTCTTTTTTGTAAGGTTTTGAACTGCAAATTTAATTCTTAAAAATAATTATAAGACCAATAAGATTGTTCATTTCATTTTGGATGAGCTTTGGTAGTTTGTGGGTTTTGAAATATTGGTACATTTCATCTAAATTGTGTAGAGTATGTGCCTAGGGAATTTAGTATTCCCTTATTACCATCTTAATGCCCATGCGATCAGTAGTGATATACCCTCTTTCATTTCTGATATTAGTGATATGTCTCTCTCTCTCTTTTTTTTTCTTCTTGGTTCACCTGGCGAGAGTTTAGCAATTTTTTTTGTTGTTGTTCTTTTCAAAGAACTAACTTTTGGCTTCATTTTTTTTCTCTTTTAAAATTTTTGATCTCTACTCTTCGTTATTCTTTCATTTTGCTTGCTTGTTTTATTTTTCTCTTCTTATTCTAGGTTCTTAAGGTAGAAGATTAGATTATTGACTTGAAATTTCTCTTCTTGTCTATTATAAGCCTTGGAATTCTACAATTTATCCTCTAAGCACTACTTTAACTGCACCCCACACATTTTGGTATATTGTATTTTCATTTTTGTTCAGTTTAAAATATTTTCTAATAGTTGTCTGTTTTAACCCATGAATTATTTAGACACACAATTGGCCCTTGAACAGCCTGGGTTTGAGTTGTGCAGATCCACTTATACACAGATTTTTTTTTCAATAAAGGTACTACAGTATTGTAAATGTATTTTCTCTTCCTTATGGCTTTCTTAATAACATTTTCTTTTCTCTAGTTTACTTTATTGTAAGAATATAGTATATAATACATATACAAAATATGCATTATTGACTGTTTATGTTATTGGTAAGACTTCCAGCTAACAGTAAGCTATCAGTAGTTAAGTTTTGGGGAAGTTAAAAGTTATGCATGGATTTTTAACTGTGTGAATGGTTGACACCCCTAATCCTACATTGTTCAAGGGTCAACTGTATATTCCTTAATTTCTAAGTGTTTGAATATTATCCTGTTATTTTTCTTTTATTGGTTTCTAGTTTAATTCTATGGTTAGAGAATATATGTTCAATTATTTTAAATTTGTTAAGGTTTGATTTATGGTACATGATATAACTGATCTCGGTGAATGTCCTGTATGTATGTATGTGAAAAGAATATGCTATTATTTACTTTCGGAGTCCTCATATAATTGTTTTATGCATTCTGCCCAGGTTTATAGCTGCATTCATTGAGAGAAACAGAGTGGATTATGCTTACTTCGTTTTACTCAGAATTAGAGTCTTCCATGTCACTTTGCCGATACTTTTGATTACTGATAAATATTCTTTTCTGAAGTATTCTTCACAAGGGTCCATTTATGGTTCAAAAAACTATAAACTAGATAAAAGATTGATGGTGAAACTAACTTTGATTTCTTAATAAAATGCCATCTCTTCTTTTCTGTAAAATGAGATAATTAGTTACTTGTCCTATGCCCTTTAAAGGCTTGTTGGTTAGATCTTAGGTGAGCATACATGCAAAATCTGCTCAAACTTTATTAGTAAGTTAGAGAAGTAAGTTAGATACAGCTACTAACTTTATCAATAAGTTAGGACCTAGATGGGTCAGGACTCAAGGAGGTGATTTGGCTGCAGGACTGATGCATGGATGACCATCTGGGGTTTGTGGCTTGGTGTTAATGGCCAGGTTTTCAGTGGACAGATCATGGCAAAGGACATCTGTCAACCAGGAATGAAGCAGGTGATAACAGCTTTGCGGTTACAGGAGGCTTATCCAGCTTGGAGCAAGACCTTACAAAATTCAGGGGACAAAATTCAGCTTTCTGGAAAAGAGTGCTAAAAAGCCCCAGGTTGAAGGTCGAAGCCCCAGCTAGGCTGGTGGGCTTCAGAGAGTGGCTGGGATCTGGGTATGGGCTATATATGGAATCAGGATACTGAGGGAGAAATCCAGCCCTGTGGCCTGGGGAAATGTGCAGAAGGAAGGCAAATGTGATTCACAGATAATACCAGCCTTGGGGCAGCAGACCTAGTTTCAGCCTGTCACCTGTTGGCCTGGTGAGAGAATCATTGGTCAGAGCTGAAGCAGAGGTAAGGAGATCCTTAAGCCTATTAAACCTAGAGAATGCAGGCAGTGGAATGATTCATATGCAGGAGTTGCTGTTAAAGTAGTGACCACACGTTAACAATCATCGTTAATATTCTTGTGGATTACATAGAAATGAGTGTATATTTGAAACTCTTTGCCAGGTAGTATAGACATCCGAATTGATATACCAGGAAACAATGGAATTAAATATGAGAGAAGCACTCAGACCTAAGAGGGGACATATGAAAATGATTATACCGTAGGTAAAATGGATAGTGCGGAAAAGGCTGACTGGGAATTTATTTTTGTAAGCTGCAATCATCTGAAGCAAGGGCAGAGTCTGTTAAACACCATGGCAATAATCTAAAGCTAGGTTGTAATTCAGACCATGAGAAACCATGCGTTATTAGGCAGGTTCCTTTGCTTTCTGACAGTTTCTCCATCCCTGAAAATATCCAGCACCTTCTCTCCCCAAGAAACAAGAACCAAAAATGTATGACTAGTCGCAATAATAAAATTACAAGGGAGAATGCAAGACGATGTTAAATGAACCAGCCAACCTCCTCCCACTAACCTTGGTACCTTTAGTCTGTCAAAACCAGCCTGCACAATCACATTTCCTTTTCAGTCTTCTTTATTCTAATTCATCACAGGACAGGACTGACCCTGGATTTGTGTTTGCACACAGGTTATGTTTAGATTGGCTTTACCTTGATGACCTGACGCTGCCTCTGCCATAATCCAGTTACTCAGGGGAGTATCAATTAAGGCCCTCAATCACACTAATTAGAATGTCTTTTAAGTGTTGCCCTAGGAATTCAGCTTATACACAGGCATATTGGGAAAATCTAGAGGTGTGAGTTTTGTTTTGTTTTGTTTTCATAGCCAAAAGCAATTTGGGAGGTAGAGTGCTTTAGCATAGCTGAGTATTGGAGCTGAAGTTACTGTGCCCTGAATCTGCAATGAAATATCTAGTCGTTCTCCACTGACAATGATTAATGCAGAATTATTAATTACTTTTATTAATGAGTTGGATGAGGACATAGGTGGCGTGCTGATCAAGTTTATAGATGACACAAAGCTAGGAGTTAAACAAGTATTTCGATGGCAAGCTCAGGAGACAAAATGATTTCAAGACAGAATTTAGTGGCAATCCATCCAATACAAGCCCAGAAGAAACAATCTCCAGAAGGCACAATTCGACAATCACATCAGTCTTCTAATCAGAAACCTTCAGTGGGTCCCTATTTTCTGTTTAAATTAAATCCCAAGTCCTTTACTATTCAGGGCCTTGCCACATTCTGATCCTACTACTCCCTGCCTTCCAACAAAGTCTTCTATAGTTCTTGTACTAATACCCTGTGCTTGAGCCAAACTGAATTATTTACAGACTATTTCCTTTTTATGTTCCATGCTTTGCCTGTCTCTGAACATTATTACCCACGGAGTTTCTTTTCCCCACTTTCCTTCTGCTTCAATTCAGTTCTTGCTCAGTCAAAAGCTACCTCTTGTACTTAGTCTTCTTTGATTGCCTAGGTTGGAATAATCTCTTTCTTTTGCTGATCTTCAATAACACTTATTTGTTCCTCTCTGTGTTTATCACTGTTTACTTTGTATAGTCATTATTTTTGTACCCATTTTAAGTCTCTGCTAGGCCTTCTTAGTGCTATAGCTTCTGTCTGAGAAATCTTTGCATATCTTATAGTGCCTCTGCATGTGTCTTCTTCATAGTTGATGATGATGAAGTGGTCTATCTCTTCTCCTGGGGAGAATCGCCTTTAGAGGAGGCTCTACCTCTTGCTCACCAGAGGCCCCGGCAATTGTATCAAAGAGACTTGTAAACAGAAGGTGCTTCACACATGTTTCATTGACTAAATGAATGACTGATAGAAGAGTTCCTTAAGTTAACAGTGTAAGTTTTGGAAGAGAATGGTGGTGGTTAAGAAAGAAACCTTTAATCTCTGAGATAAAAATGGTTGTTTAGGATATAATAAACTCACTTGTAACTTTTTTTTTTAAAGATTTATTTATTTATTTGAGAGACCGAGAATGAGAGAGAGAGAGTACATGAGAGGGGGGAGGGTCAGAGGGAGAAGCAGGCTCCCTGCTCAGCAAGGAGCCTGATGTGGGACTCGATCCCAGGACTCCGGGATCATGACCTGAGCCGAAGGCAGTCGCTTAACCAACTGAGCCACCCAGGCACCCTCACTTGTAACTTTTGAACAGTCATGCTAAAGAAGGAAGCACAAATATGAACTAGAGATTTGTGGTGATGTGTGGTCAAGAGAGGTGAATGCTGTTGGAAACTTGCATTGTCCTTTAAAGTGACGATAGACTCGGATTGCTTAGGCAGTACCAGTTTATACCTTTTGTTTCAGGGGCACCCTCTTCCAGGTGTCTCATTTTAAGTGCTATTATTTGGCCACCCTATTTATCAAATACCTCTTTGCACTTTTCAAGATGGTGGGTCCTTTTGGTGGTGAAACTTGTGCCATAGGCTTATGTTGGCCAGAGGTGGGTATAAATCTCATCTCTGGCACTTACTAGAAACGTGATCAGGACAAGTTACCAAGACCTCTGTAAGCACTCTTATGTGGCTGCTGTGTTCAAAACAGCGACAATCTTGAATATGGAATTTTTCAGTAATATCCACGTGTCAGTATTTATAACCTTATCAAGATTTTGTCAGGGGGAAGATATGTCTAGGGAAATAAATATTTCACAGAGTTGTTAAATCTCTAGATCTTCCGTATTAGAGATCACACAACCAAATGTAAGGACAGAGTTCTTGCTACTTGGCTGTTTCAGCTAGTTATCAATAGAAAGGCTAAAGGTCACAAAAATTGGACTCCAGCCTCATCATTTGTCTCTTCCAGGGAGAAGAGGAGAGCAGGCACAGCAGAGCATGAGGTTTAGATATTTCCCTTTACTCTAAATTCAGTGTGGCGGACTATAGACCAAGTCTGCATCCAGGATTTCTAGACCTTCTATTCATCACTAAGAAGGAGAAGTGTCTGGATCATAAAATATTTCCAATTGGGAACAGACCACAAGAATGCTAAGGAGGGGAAGAAGATCAAATTTGTCTGCCAGAAATGTGACTCCTGGTGAAAAAAATCAAGAGGAATATTTTTCTTAAGGAGGCAGTTGTAGTTGAATGATAAAGAGAGAGTTCTGGAGCCGGACTGCTGGAACTTAATCATTATTCTCCCACTTTCTAGGCAAAAGATGTTGGTTATGTTATTTAAACTTGTCTCAGTTTCCATATCTGTAATATCGGTATTAAAAAAAAACAGTCTTATTGGTCGGTTCCTGCAATTAAATTTGTTAATATCGTAAACATGTTAGAACAGTTCCTTGTCCATCGTTAGCTTCCGTATGCAGTAATTATTACTTAAGCTCTTGAGAGTGGTAAGTACTCTCCCTTAACTTTGTATTTATGTTGACAGGATGGGACTTTTGTGGTGTGTGATGAGTCTCTACTTCTATGGGATCCTTCAAAGTGATGCCTCAGGTAAGCGAATAGCTTTTGACAATCTATTAAAATATGAATTACCTATAACATGTTAATTCTTTCTGAAAAATGAGTTAAGACTACATAATGTTTATGTCCATTGTCTTCTGTGGTACCACAGAATCATAGATGTGACAGAATCATAGAATTTTGGTGATGATACCTCTAGTCTTCAGGGGACACTGTGTACTTGGTTGGGGCAGTGGCCTGGTATGTATAAATACAGGAATTTTCCATCACCTTCACATCCAAACCATCTAGAATTCTGCTTCTCTCCCTTTACCTCAGGTCTACAGTGACGGTAGCATGACTCTGTTTTCCAAACTTCAGCCAGTGGTGGAGGAAGCACTGAGGCTAATAGTCCATTAAGATCTTTTAAGAACAAATGAATAATGATGGGTTTCTGTCATACTGCTTCTATCTAGGAGAGAAGGGACCTACCATTAGGCTCTTTTTTTTTTTTTTTCTTTTTCCTTTGGTTGTTGCTTCTTAAGAGAAACCAGCCAAAGCTTGAGTTTGAATAACCAAATTCAGTCATCTTGGGTCTGGATCATATGAAATCAGAGTCACAAGGGATTTGAAAATCCATCTTTTCAGAGCTCCTCTCATCTCCAGAATTACTGCTCAGAACCAGTCTGTGGTAACTCTGCCTAGTGATCATCTAATTGCAGTCCATATGTCTTTGGACTGACCAAGTTCTTAGAAAGTTTTTAGTGTATATAATTGAAATTTATTTTTGTCATTTCCACATTTCTCCAGTTCAACTGCTTGATTTTTAGTAGAAAATACTCAGTCCAGTGGTTCTCTAATTTTAATTCAGGGAACCTAGATATCTTTGAAAAAGCTTCTCATGTATAATTCCCCTGAAGACCACAGACGATACTTTAAATATCATTACTTTAATTCCTCTTCTGTATGAAAGGTCTTCAGAAATGTTAAAATAGTGATCGTATAGCCATGACAGTGTTTTCTGATATATGTCTTCAGTTGTTCTTCACATGGCATGGATTGGAGCCCTCTCATCCCGATTATCTTTTCTGGGTATGTTTCAGTTTTTCTATACCACTTAAATACCATTTTATTGCTTTAAGTGGTATAGACCAAAAATAACACTAAAGGAGGGGTATAACTAGGACAGAATACAGCTCAAAGCTGAGAGAAGTGGAGATAACTTCCAACCTTGTTGGACCTTTTCACAAGGAAAGCATATTTCCTAATCTGCGCTGGTGTTCAGCTGAGATGCACTCGGGCACAGATCTCCTGGCTATTTAGACCAGCGTCCGTCCTGCTTGACAGTGTCCCATCTGACTGGTCAGTGACGGTGATGTCCTGATTTTTAAATATGTTAAATAGAACCCCTGATTATTATTAGTTCTTATTTGATTTAGTTCAGTGCTTGAATATTATCTGCTTACAGAGGCCTGATTTAATTAACCACCTTAGCTAAAATAACCCTCCTGATCACACATCTCTGTATCCAGCTGTAGTTTCCCTCCTGACACTCATCATTTCTCGACATTATATTAACTTTCTCTCGTCTCCTCCTCCCCTGCTTTTCCTTCTTTCTGTTCTATTTCCTTCCCGTCTTCCTCCTCTCCCTTCTTTCTTTCTCTCTCTTTCCCTCCTTCCCTTTCTCCTTCCCTCCCTATTTCACTGCTTGTAAACTGTCCGAGGACAAGGACTTATCCTCTTTGTTTGTTACACAAATACTTAGAATAATGATTGGCACATAGACACATAGTAGGCGCACGCTCACTCTCTCTCTCTCTCTATATATATATATTATAAATGGATGGATATATATGCATACATATTATATATATAATATATATAATAAGTGGATGTAAAAAATCCCTTCACTTCCCTTTTTGCCAAAATTGGCCAATTTTATAATGGGACTTGTTTGGATTCATACCAGTAATTCATCAATGTAGTTTTATGTCCTGCCTTACCTTGAAGGAAAAGGGAGAGGTGACCATGTTATTCTTGTTGAGAGATCAGTGACATCCCAGAAGTTTCTGGGTGCTAGTGTCTCCCCAGCAATCCTGGCAGTGTTGCCTTTCTGAATGACCTTTACTGTAATCCATCCAAGGAGGTCCCCTGCCCCCACCCCAAATGCTATTGGAAAGTGAGCTTTCTACCCAGGAACTGTGACTCATAATTCTGCCAGGGAAGCTGACTTCTTGAATAAGATAAGTTCTCATACCAGCCCCATTCAGTCACCATGGGAGCAGGAAACATGTTGTAATCCCCTCAGCCCATCTGGCACATGCTCATTTGCCTTCCTTATGAAAAGGTATATTGTGTCTGTGTCAGTGATGCACTTCCTAGTTGGAGGAAGAGGAACAAAAAGGAAGTGTTGTTGACAAAAATAAAAGGGACGACTAACTCTGGGCTACGAGGGGACAGAAGGGACCATTGCACATTTTGAGGGAATCAATGAACCTCTCGTGCATCAAGGTATCACTTCTTACAATGATATAGTTGCTGGCAGACTTGTTGGCCTTTCATGAAGTTCTTCCTGTGCTTCAGGTACCCATCTTAATGGAATCACAGAGTGATGTGAAGAACAAAGGAGAAATAACCAGAAAACCCTAAAGCAGTGTACATGCATATATTAGTAGGTGTTTTGTCTGGTTGTTCTGGGCCTTTCTATGTAGACCCTTCTCCTAAGAGAAGCCCCACATTTAAAAAAAGAAGCCATATGAACATAAGAGCTTTAGTTCCATGCATTTTTTTAATTTAATTTTTTTTTTTTTTTTAGAGAGAGAGAGAAATAGCATGTGCATGAGTGGGGATGGGGGGGGGGGGGCAGAGAAAAGAGGGTGAGGGAGAAAGAGAATCAAGCAGACTCCCCACAGAGTGCAGAGCCCAATGCAGGGCTCGATCTCCCGACCCTGAGATCATGACCTGAGCCAAAATCAAGAGTCAGCCACTCAACCAACTAAGCCGCCCAGGCGCCCCCCATGCAGTGTGTTTTAAGTGCAGTAAACTGGACTTTAAGGCACAGAATTCTGACTCCAGAACACAGTCTTTCTTGTAGCAGTACTGTGATTTCCTTTTTTGTTCAGGAAAGTGGGAGCAACATTTTCATCTCAGGTGGCCATAAAAGCAAATACTTAAAAGCAAGCATTTACTTTTAAGGAATTAAAGCTTGGATAATTACAATGGTGATAATATAATTACAATGTGGTAGTTATAATGGTAATAATAAAGCTTCCTTCCCTGAGAAAGCACTTTGAATTTTCGATGTCATTTGACTCTCACACTCAAACGAACCCCATTTTGGGGAAAAAAAAATTAGGATCAGAGTGGTTAAGTGAATTACCACAAGTCACACAGCTAACACATAACGTAACTGTGACTTCAACTAGTTCCTCTGTTCTCAAGATCCATGCTATTTTAGCTAAATATACTCCCGCTGGACTCCATTAGGATATACACAATTTTTTTTTTTTTTAAAGATTAAGATCCAAGGGGTCACAGGTTAAAGAACCATTCAGTAATAGACTTCTGTGCTTTTTAGATAAGAAGTATCTTCCCTCCCAATTCCCCTCCTTAGGTGGTTTCTTCAGGAGGAAAATCACTGTAATGTAAGCTCAAAATTCAGTACCCCATTTTTGCTTGTTGTAAATTGAACATTTCTTTTTTTTTAAAGATTTTATTTTATTATTTATTTGAGAGAGAGAATGAGATAGAGAGAGAGCACGAGGGGGAAGAGGGTCAGAGGGAGAAGCAGACTCCCCACGGAGCAGGGAGCCCGATGCGGGACTCGATCCCAGGACTCCAGGATCATGATCTGAGCCGAAGGCAGTCGCTTAACCAACTGAGCCACCCAGGCGCCCAAGTAAATTGAACATTTCCAATACTAAACTCAAAGAAGTTCTGCTTTGCAAGAATTCCAAAAGCAAACTTAACTTGTCACACATTTCTCCTGTGGTGTGTTCCATTGGCAGCATGTTAGAAAGTTGAAGTGTTAAAACTGCCTTTAGCATAGAAAGAAATATTTGCAACTTGTGATTCCAAGTCAGGGAGAGGGTGAGAATGGCACCATACATAATATGTTGAATTAAAAAAAATATTACCATATCAAAATTATTTATTACAGAGACCACGTTAAAAAGAGCAATGGATTTTCTCTCCCAAGCTCACACACACAGATCTTTGAATATAGCTTTTTATTTCAAAGTCAACAAACAGTTGACCATGTGCCAGGTGCGGGGTTAGATTTCACACACATTATCATTAATGTCACAGAAGATGCTGGGCGCTGGGGATGGGGGAGTGGGTAGAGAGTCTTACACACATTTATAGTTCAGGAAAAGAAGAGCCAGGGAAGTGACCTAAGTTAACAGTGCTCATGGTGGCATGTCTGATAGAGCTAGGTTTTGAAGGCTACCTCAATTCCAAAAACAGAGCTCTTTCCTTTAAACCACATTGCTTTCTTTTAGGACTTTGTTCTGCTAATAGTGGTAAGATCCCATGATTTCATTTCTATTAATTTTGAGGAATTTGCAGAGGGTGGAAATAATCTTTTGGCTTATCAAAAGTGAATAACACTATGCAAAATAAATAAATAAGTAAAAACACTGGCTTATCAAGAGTCATTGCTTAGAGTTCTGACTGTTTCATTTTACGAGTGTTTAATGACATTGAAGAAGTCATTTAATCACACCTGGTCACTGTGACCTTATCTATAAACCCAACCAACCAACCAACAATAGCAAAGCTCTGGTCAATTCTGCTTTCTTGCATTTTTATTCAAGAGCATTATGGTCATTATTATATATTGTGGACATACACGGCATACACTCCTATTATTTAGTTAAGCAATTTCTAATGACAAGTGTTTGTCTTACAATGATTTTACCTTAGTCTAAAGATCGTGTGTTTGACAGTTTTATATTACAGAATCCAGGGTAAATAAGGGAAGGCTCTTATGGAAGTATCTTCCAGTCAAGTCTGACAGAAAGAAGAGAAAATAAGTACCAAAAAGAATG